TACTGATAATGGCCAAAAGCATCAAAAATCTGTGGGAACCTTTAAGACTTTGTCTATATCCATGGCAAGTTGTTGTTTTTTATCACTGCATTGTTGGCCACATGTAACACAAACTATCTCTTCTAGCTCCACCGCTTGGGATGCCCTCCCTGTCCCAAGATCCCCTCTGAGCAAAGCTCTAAAATGTACCTGTGCTTTTCCCATGAAGATATAAACCCTAAGGGCCCATTCACACTACATCCAGATCATCTCCAGACCAGACCAGATTGTTTCTAGACCCCAAATGCGTCCTAATGTATCCCTATGCTATTTCCGGCTCCTGTTCATACCAGCGCAGAGCAGCGTTCCAGAGCAGACCAGAAAAATACTGCATGTCCTATTTTGTCTGGTCTGGAATGCAATGGAACTGCGGGCAGGTTCACACCATTTACTGGACCAGATATGGTCCAGTAAATGGTGTGAACCTGCCCTAAGGCCTTATTCACATGGATGGGGTAGTAAAAACAGGCAGCCACAGCAAATTCTATAGCATGGCGTGTTTGGCAGGTGGTGTTGCCTGCAAAAATGTGACCAATGCAGTCAATGCCACCATGCCACAATGCAAAATTCCCCTTTGCATAAAAAAATTACAAAACAGGTATTGCTTTAGGGCAGCCCAATTATTTTGAATGGCTTGCCAATGCATAACAATAGACAACAAAATGGACCTGCAGCATTTTGCTGACACAGTGCTCTATCAGTCTGTTTTTGACCCATGGTTACATGGCTCAAAAACAGACAGCAATATATCTATGGAGGACTGGATGTTCGTCCATCTATATCTGCCCACTTTCCTGGGTCCATTCAAGTCCATGGGATTAAACGCAAAAAGTTTGCTATGTCTGCTTTTACTGACCTGAACAGATGTTGGCGGAGGTAGGTGGATGCATGTCCGCCATTTATCCAGCCACCCATAGTGGTTACAGGAGTCCATTTTACCTCCATCCCAGAATGGGGGAAAATAGGAACCGACATGGATGTGACATATGTGACATCTGTCTCCATTATGATCTGACTCAGCAGTAGATCCCTCTAGTCAGATTAGAATAGAGATGGGACGATGTTCCATTTTATATCCTAAATACAGGTGTACTATTAAACTTGGCCTTTAAAATTGAACTATAAGACAATTGTGATATCTTTAGCCAGTTTCTCAGTTACCTTTCCAGCAGAGGGCCCCAGGCCCCCAGTAATCTCAATGCTGTACTTCTTCATGATGTATGTTGTAATGTCCTTCCAGTCATAGCCGTCTGGCACTTTAACTGTTGTCACAGTAGGGAGTCGCAACGCCTAAAGTAAATCAAATGTTAAGATTGACAGGTATGTTAAAGCTGTTGAAAATGTTTCTTTCTATGTGGCTTCATGGCAATGATTCAAAAATAAAGAAATACAAAGAATATTTCTGACGCTCAGATTGGGGGCAAGTTTAGACTTGGTAAGTGGTAAGAAAAGTCTCTTAACAAGCAAAGGATTAGCGAAATACTGTTATGTAACGTAACTCCAGTTTCCTTCTACAGTTGATATAGAGCATAAAAATTGTAGAGTGCTGGAGCACGCTATGACCCGTGCATGTGTAAAACACATAGGGCTCATTTTCAGTAACATGGATGTTTTTCTTTTTGTTATTTTATAATCATTTTATTTTTAAAATGTTCATTGCACAGGTTGCATGGGTGTGGAATAGTTATTATTTTGCATTAAATGGGCATTTATCTGTTACAAATCATTATTTTCTTTCTTTTCAATTAAGGGACACAGAAACAGTGGAAATCATAAACCACTGGGTTATACTGCTGCTTTCCAGAGGTCTGGACACTGGCAAAACAAAAAAACATTAAGCCAGCCCCCTATATAACCCCGCCTCCAACTGTCTAGTTTTTTCCTAGTGTCCTAGGAGGCTGTGCACTCTTCTATATTTATATTTTTACTCTTTTTTTTCCATTCTACCAACATTTGTGGTACATTGTGGATGTTTTTTCTCTTCAATCAAGATTCTTATTAAGCTTTTTAAATGGATCTCTATGCAACTAAATTGGCTAATCCTCGATGATAGCTTGGAGGCCATACCCAGATCCCAATGGACCAAAGACCACCTAGTGTACTGGTATGTTGGCTACAGAGCAATTTACAGGTCCACATTCGTGTTACAGCATCTGGTGTGAACCATTTTCTGAAGATTCACTTTGTGGATGGGGTGAAGATATACTGGAACGTGACCTTTGGGATCTGCACTTTGGTGCTTTGCAGACATCTGTATTTTGTGTCGGTCGCTAAGTGCTCTCCATTTTAGAGCAGTGGTACAACCTCTGGTATACCCAGTCTCTTGGTAAGTGATATCTACATAATAAGCCCTTTTAATCAATTATGAACTGAGTTGCGATGCAGGAACAGCAGGATTTGTCTCACGAAAGTGCATTGTGGCATTTTCTGGGCTGGAGTCGGTTAGCCACACAGCAATTTCACAGCAGCAGTACTACCTTGATGCTACCCAGTCTCTAATTACTCCCTGTATGAGTTTGCCCCTGAACATAGCAAAATATAAACTGCACTGTTGCTCTTTTAGAATGCCTCCTTACATCCACGTTAGAGCTAAGTGATATCACTTTCCGTCCTCTTGTGGCAGCAACCTTAATTTGTGAAACCATGTTTGATTGGACCACAACTCTTCCTATCCTGATCAGAACCCTAGAGTTTAACAGCTTGTAAAACAATTCCATTACGGCCTGCACTTCTGCTCTGTGGGTCTTTTAGATGTATCTAAATTAGTGTATTGCACAACAATGATGTCTGTCCTTATGCGCAGAGCACTTTGGATACACTCAATGAATGTCTTCTGCACTAGCCATATGAAGGCAGGTGTCTTTTTGGTGAATCTCTTGACCATGAAAAGCCCAAGCTTCTGACTCTGTGAACTTGCTTCCACGTATTGCACTCCCTCACTCCTAATCCACTGTCCCCATTCCTCAGAGATGTTCCAAGTCTGCCTTCCTTTCTAGTCGCAGATCTCACAGCCATGTACCCGTGAGAGTAACAGCACTTCCACATAGTGTGATTTTACTGTTAGGTTTATTGGGTCTTTTGAAATGTGTTGTTTTTCCTGTCAGCTTGCTAGCCCAGGCTTCTTCCTGTGGCTCCAATTCTTGGCATTGTTTCAAGCACCCCTGGTGCGTGCCTCTTCTACTTTGGTGCTATTCCTACCTCCGAGATTTTTCCAATTCAGAATGGTTCCAGTTCTTCATTACACTGGAACTCCCTGTCTCTTGCTATTGTTTCTACTCTTTATTGCTCCTATTTCTATTCTCAAATGTATGCAACACTTGGGGTCTAGTCTTTCTCTGTAATCCTTGCGAAGAGATCCATCCTACTGGATTCTTCCCATTTATTATTCTATGCGAAACAGCTTTCATTAAACATCTTTGGAGTTTTAAGCGAATTGGTGAATTCCCTTATGGAATATTATCCTAGTTTCCTTTCCCATATGTGTATATATTTTGCTTTCGTCACCGAGTAACTTGGCCCAGTTTACTTATTTCATTGTGTTCCGCCTGCTATTTGTTGGTGGACAGTTCATTGTCCTTCATTTTACAAATATGGAACCATGCGCCTCTGATGGTGTTCTGTCCTGGTGTGTGGATCTTGCTTCCACATTGTTGCATCTCCCAGTAGAGTTTTCCCACCCCTCAGTTGAATTGCTTTTGGACAGTGTATGATTTCTACTGTTCCTTTGTCCCTCAATGCATGATAGAGAAAATCAGTTTGTTTTTTTACTTACCGTATAATTGTTTTATTTGAGTCATGACAGTTGATAGTGGAGTCATACAGTAGACTAGCTTAACGTTCTTTGTCATGCCAGTGTTCAGACCTCCTAGAGGCAGCAGTATAACTTAAATGTTTATGATTTCTACTTTTTCTGTGTCTCTCAATAGACTATTATTGATGGTCATGAATAGTGAGCATGCTGATAACATTTCTTGTTGTTTTTTTCAACCAATTGTTGGAGCGGTGGCTACTTTAAAACACACACAGGGTGGGACCATGGGGAACAAAAGTAGCCAACCACTATATGTTCCATTTAATAATGAAGCTAGAAAACTGAACCAGGACCACTACTTAAAAGTGTTTTTTCTTTGTTTCCAAGCAGAAGGTAAGGGAAATGAGCTATATTAGGTACAGTATCAATAATATAACTCCCAATCATGGAAAGACAGCTTTGTGAATTAAACCTATTGTTTGGCTGCTTTTTCACTAGCGATATAGTCGATGTGAGCATTAAGTTGTATAGATAGTAAGCTGCAATTAGCATTAAGTTCAGGGTAGAAATCTCTTGCCACCATGTTCAATGGCTATATTTCTGTTGTATATACTTACTGGATCCTTCACAAAGAGCTTTAATCCCAAATCTTCTAGTCCTTTGTGGAACCTCAGAGCAGTCTCGCGGTGTTGCTCCCAGGAGCACTCTAAACCCTGGAAACGGATACATAGAGAATATTCAGTTCTGGTGGCCTGTTCTCAGTTCAGCAGCTAAAATAAATACAATACAATATGAATACAGTGGATGAAAATGTGTTGCATTGAATATTTTAGATCTTATAGATTTATCAGCCAAACTAGTTGACATCAGGTCTGAAGAACCACAGTCCCATTTACAATAATGGTGCAATGCAGATGAACGTTTCGGGCTGTGTTTGACCTGTCTTGCTTTATGTTGTGTTTTTTTGAAGAAGGTCAAATGCAGCCTTTGTGTGAGCACCCGTATGTTTTAATGCAAAAGGCAGCGTTTGCCTATTACCTAAAATGCTCTAAGACCTGTGCAGCTCGGGTGTGCATACGGCCGCGTCCTGTCACAGAGAAGAACAGGCTGCTGCGTGCAATCACACGCAGCACTTGTCCCTCCCGGGAATGGCTCGATACTGCATGACTTTGCCTGCAGTATCTAAGGTTAAAAAAATGTAGCACTAATTACAGAATTGTGGATGTGGCCAATTAGAACATCTTTTACAGTTGGCTAAGCTAGCTATGAGACCATGCAAATGAGGCAACACAGTGGCTTAGTCATTAGGTCTTCTGCTTTGTAGGGGCCCCTATTCAAATACCAGTGAGGACACTATCTGCAAGGAGTTTGCATGTACCGTATTTTGCGTTCCATAAGACGCACCGGACAAGGACGCAGGGAGGTCCTGTGCGCCTTATGGAGCACTCGACAGACCGTAGCTTCTGTCACAGAAGCTGTGAGAGAAGCTGCAGTTAGTGACCGCTGAGACAGGTGGCCCTGTGATTACAGTGCCATGGTCTCAGTGATTACACAGAGCAGGCGAAGAACGTCCGTCTGCTCGGTTTTAATACAAGTGATATCATTAGATCACTTGTATTAAACGAGCAGTGGCTCCTACTGTACATTTAACTCTGCTTTGGCAGGGCTAAATGTACAAAAAACTACTCGTCTGGCACACGAAACTGGATGTTCCGGGCGTCGGGATTCGCACCATAAGAAGCAGGCACATTTTCCCCCTCCTTTTGGGGGGACAAAAGTGCATCTTATGGAGCGAAAAATCCGGTACTCCCTGTGCTTGAGTAGGTTTCCTCTGGGTACTCCTGTTTCCTCCTAAACTCCAAAGACATGCTGGAAGGTTAATTGGCTTCTGTCTAAATTGGCCCTTTATGTGTGTGCAGTAAGGACATTAGATTGTAAGCTCCTTGAGGGCAGGGACTGATGTGAATGTGCATTATGTAAAGCACTGTGTAAAAATTGTTGATGCTATAAAAATACCTGTAATAAATAATAACGCTTTTACTGATCTGGCCACTGAATAATCCCTTTACATTGGGCAACTTAGTTAGAGTTCACCTCGTTCTGGGTTAGATTCAGTCAAATGAAATCTCATTGTTTGCTATGGATTATTATATTTTACAATTTACTTCTTTCACTGATGCAGGGGTTAATTTATCAGTCTTCGTTTCATATCCTGTGATTGGGTTGTGTGAGTTACTGATGGTTGTTCTATTTAAGATTTGTGCTATTTGTTTTTAATAATCATGATTAAGGCCACTGTATAGGGCTGAAACGCGTTAGATTTTTTTGTTTGCTGTTTTTAATGCCTCAGTAATAAAGTTTCCACCGAGTGAATCCTTTCACTCGGTTTTCTACAATGCATTTTATTGGGTCCGGCAGAGACTGACACTGAGCACCGCAGCTCCAGCCTGATTATTGGGATAGGAGGTTGAGCGGCTTTGATTTGTTTATTGAATAAGCCCAAATATGGACCCTCTCACACAGGTGGTGGCCGTTCTAGTCAGCAGGGGATCAGTAAACAGGTGCCCTACTGATCAGAGCAAAATGAAATGGATGTCAGTTTGACATCTGACATGTATGTCCATCCACTTTTTTCCTCCATCATGTGATAGAGATAAAAACGGACCTTAACGGACCCATGCAAGTCTATGGCCTGGTGATATCCCGTATTTTGCACTCTAGAAGGCGCTCTGGACCATAGGATGCAGGGATTCTGTGACAAGAATTCTGTGACAGAATTCTTGTCACAGAATCAGATGAAGAACGACGTTCTTCGTCTGCTCTAGGGGCTCTATGGTGTGCTCCTATGCCGTGGTCACAGTCCCCCAGAGGAGCGGGGGACCCCAAAAACCACGGCTGGGGGGAGCGGACACGATCGCCGCCGCCGCTCGATTCTATACAAGTGATCTAATTAGATCACTTGTATTAAACGAGCAGCGGCTCCCACTGTACATTCAGCTCTGCTTGTCAGGAGCAGGGCTGAATGTACAAAAAAACTACTCGCCCGGCGACCGAAACTGCATGTCCCGGGCGTCGGGCGATAGGTATTCGCTCCATAAGACGCAGGCACATTTTATCCCTCCTTTTGGGGGAAAAAAAGTGCGTCTTATGGAGCGAAAAATACGGTGAATGGATGTGCGTACGTTAACACCCTTTTATCTGTGGTCCATCGTGTTTAGACCCAAATAAAACAAAAAGGATGCAAAGGGCCATGTGAAAGGTGTCTACGCCTTACAACTTGTTGGTTTTACCTTCTCAGCCAGGATTGCCAGTCCTTCTCGTAAACTGTAGAAGTTGGTCACTGGTCCTGTATGATGATATCTGAAGAATATTTAAACACATTAAAATAAACAACCAATTTTTAGTCCTATAATAATTATAATTGTTTTCTGTAGCCCAGTTACAGTATATATATGGTGGACATAAGCAACATTGCTTCAACCATGAGCTCAGTTTCTGTATAGGTCTAATAGGAGTCTGTTAGCATTCTCATGTAACAATTATTGATTGTATGTTATAATACAAACTATGTTACAGATATAATGAAGTCAGAGGGCTGTACACTTTTACTGCTAATGGATAGGAGCATATTCAGATGCCAGTGTGCCTTCTTATGTAATATTCCTAAGTATCCTAAGGAAAATGACTTGTTATTGTGTTCTTCCTATTAAAGAAGAACTCGGGGCAGAATAAAACTTAACCCTTGAAGTGGGGCTACCGCTGCATTGCAAGGCTTAAGTGCTCGTTTTCGTCCAGGGCCTTAAATAATAAAGATATACTCACCCGAACCTTGGCCCTGCCTGGCTGCTAGACCAGTCCCTATAGCCTCTCTCCCCCTCCACTCCGGCAGTCTAAGTATCCATGAGTCATCAGGTTAAATACAGGGAAATCCCAATGCTGGAATGGAGGCTCCAGGGACCTGTCTAGAAACAAGCCGGAACCTAAGTTTGGGTGAGTATATCTTTGTTATTTTACACTCTAGACCAAAACGAGCACTTAACCCTTGTAGTGCGTGGGTAGCCCCACTGCAAGGGTTAAGTCTTATTCTGTCTGAAGTCTTTCTTTAAGCAGTGATGTAACAATAACCATAGCAGGGGCCTGGGGTAGGAGGGGGCCCTATTAGGGAGGCTGTTAAGGAGAATGTGAAATTTCCTGTATGGGAGGGCTCTAAAGCCCCCTCTGTGCAGTAAGAAACATTCCTATGAGAAGTACGCACTAGAAATAGAAACCAAGAGGGCGCCTCCAGGAGAAACTGCAAGACGAGGACGTCAGCACCCTGGAAGGAGGTTACGCTTTAATGAATCAGTCCAATTATAACCTAGAAAGCTATTGCAAATGCTATGTTTACATACACACTATCAGCTGCCTATATAAGACACAACAATGCGGAACAATAAAAAGAAGTATCTTTACTCTGACTCTCTGTGTCAGCGTGTTTTATTTCTTCACTGATAGTGTGCACACTTTGTACTGAATTAGGCCCAGGGACAGATATATGTCGGATTCTTGATGTCCGAGTCCTCAACACAACATCTTGTGGAGTCAATGCCAAGAAGAATCGCCGCAGTATTGAAGGCAAAAGGTGGCCCAACGAAGCACTGATGGGGTGGTCATAATAATCTGGCCACTCAGTGTATACTTAGATGTCTTAGCAGTGTAGATTTATTGCCCTCTGAACTTCTGCTACAGACTGAACTTATGTCCAATGCTGGCTATACACTGCTGGAGGGTGGGTATTGTATTCTGACTGCTGCTGTCGGTTGACAATTTTCTGCCTAGCTCTTTCAATTTTCTGATCAAAGGATGTTGGGTGGAAGGCTAGGGCCCCCCATAGAGCGAATTTCGGTTGGTTCAAGCTGGTTGTAATTAACTCAATGTATGGCTAACTTAATGGATTCAAAGAATCCCAGTGTTCCTGCTCAGCTAAAACCCTAGTCCTTAGTAGTTTGACTGGTGCATGTGCTTGATTTAGGTATACTTTATGTTCAGATCAATGTCAGTATTGTCACAGTGGACATTGCTAGCTTCTACAGAGAGAATTAACCAGGGGCTACCATCAAAATTGTGCTATGGGGCCCCATGATTTTGGGTTATGCCCCTGTTATTAGGACTTACACTCTTGGCTTCCCATCACACCCCCAGTAGTTTGCAAGCCAGTTCAGGTCCAAATACAGTGATGGTGGCTTTGTCTTACGGCTGAATATCTTCTTACTGTGGAGATGAGAACATATAATAATGAACATAAATATAATAATGAACATAAATATGAATATAATAATGGGTGGGACTACAGCTCATAGTAACCAGTGACGTCAGTGAGATGGGCAGTATGTTGCCCAGAATGTCAAAGGTTGCTAAGAGCTCTTGGCAACCTGGGATACTCTAGCCGGAAAGGGGGTTGCAGGTGTGCCCTTGGTGACTCAATGAGGTGCCGTCTGAGGCAAGCGCCTCAGACTGCCTCATTATAGAGATGGCCCTGGGTTTAATCGATCATTTTTGACATCTAAATTCTTAATGGTCTGCATAGAAGGGGTGTCAATTCCCTAAATACATTGTGCTAGAAGGTGTCCCTCTTTTTCATCTCGGAAAGTTATGGGGGCATGGATTAGCATGTGTTCATGTTTAAATGAACAAGTGACTGTCTCATTTACTCGGGTGTCTGAGAGATTTTAGCTTATGATTACATACCTTGCTGCTTCGCTGAATGATATAGGTGCTGTGCCTGGAGGGGCGTTTATCACCTTCTGAGACCCAGAGTATAAGATATCAATTCCTGAGAAAAGACACACAAAAATAAGATTTAAGGTTGAGCTGAAACAAGTATTGTTAAGTACATTCTTTCACCAAATTTAGAGAAATACCCCAAATGTAAAATAACCTTCACTCACCAATCACAAACTATCTTTTGTTAGGCTGCTAGCACTAAAATACTAATATAATGATTTCCATCACAACATTATGATGCTGTTGTTACTATGATATACTGTAATTCCCAAAATAATTCATCTGTAAAAGCTCAACATCTCATTTTCTACCCTTTTCCTCTAACAAACAATATGAAAAAGCTGAAGATCTTCAGCCATCACATCCTAGGATTTATTTATTTATTTGTTTGTTTTATGTATTTATTAAAATGTCTAAGCAATGGACCGTATTCTTGTGGCAACACTTTATATTAGTATACTATTTGCCCAGCAGATGGTGATGTAGGTGCAGAAGACGCATATGAACTTGTAGTAGTATCATGGGTAGACTATAGGATCTTATTTTTCTTTCTTGCAGATGTCATTTTACTTAAAACGTAACTCCACTTTCCAAAGATGATAATTCACTAGAGGTGCACCGAAATGGAAATGTTGAAACCAAAATTTAAAAAAAATGTCAGGCCGAAACCGAAAATGTTTTTTATTTTTTCAATTTTTTAAAATATTTTATTTTTTTATAAACTTTTTAATTTTTTTTAAATTTATTAATTCATTTTTTATTAAATATTTTAATTTTTTACTTTACTTTTAGGGGCCTCGGGGAAATATTAGGGGTCTAAACAGACCCCTGATATTTCCCTTTTAAATAGAAAAAGAGATTGAGAACACAGAGTCCTCATTCTCTTTTTCCTTGTCCCCTGTTATCAATGAACAGGAATCCTCTGAGTGTTCCTGTTCATTGATAACATGAGAACGTTGTTTACTATAACTACAATTATGAATGAATGGGGGTGATGTAGATCACTTCCATTCATTCATAATTGAGGATATAGTTAACATACCATATCCTCAATTATGTACAAACACTCAGCCATCACTGATCGCTGAGTGTGTGTACCTTGCTTTTCTCTCTGACACGCTGTCACAGGAGGCTGATCGAGCGATGTAGAGAGGAAAGCCCTCATCTGACATCGCTGTCTCCGCCCCCACACCGCTCTGCCGGACTGTGATAGCGGCTGAGCGGTGTGGGAGGAGAGACGCCGGCCGCTCACAGAGCTCTCGTCCTGCAGCGCTCGGCCGGCTGCCACTTTCTTTTCTCCCCGCTGGAACACAGAGCAGCACCCAGCGGGGAGAAAAGAAACCAGGGATGCGCCGATGTATCGGCCGAAACATGGCTCTTTCGGCATTATGCCAAAAGTGCCATTTTCGGCCGATATGTTTCGGCGGCCGATATATCGGTGCATCCCTATAATTAACCATTTTGTAATTTAATGTTAAGAAAAACTACCTTACCATTTAAAACTGCAGCTGCTGTAATGCTCTAAATCTATCACAAAAATGCAATACAAAATAGCGACCCGGAGGCTTTAAGGCCGTGACACACTGCACGCGAAGCCTTGCAGAGCGAAGCAAAGCTATCCGGCACGGAGCTTTGCGTGCAGTGTGTGAGCTGAGTGCAGTCAGATGATTGACAGCACCTTCAGCCAATCGGCTCGTCCGTAACAACCTGCCAGCTGTCACATCGCGACGCGCTGGTTTATACGCGCGAGCCGATTGGCTGAAGTTGAAATTGTTCATCTCAGCAAGCTCAGCTCCGCGAGCTCTCGCAAGCTGAGGTGCCAAGCAGAAAATTACATGACACACTGCTCGCAAAGGCAGCGTGCCCCCGCTCCGCGCTGCTTCGCGTGCAGTGTGTCACGGCCTTAATACACACTTAGTGTACAGAACACCCCCAGAGATGTCACTTTCTGCTTCTGTGATTGGTTGACTGATTTTCCCAGCACTAAGATACAGGTATACATTTTTGGCATCCCCTGCATTAGGAATTTTATTTTTGGTGAGATACTCCCTGTGTTAATTACTACTAAAGGGATGCCTACACTGCACCTTTCCTTATTACAACAAAGAAAGTCCACCAGCTGATTATAATGAACCCAGATCCACCACAAAACTCTTTTGACATCTAAAATGAAGATAACACGTCATATATCGTTTTTTACATTTATGCTATGTATAGCATGTATATGTGGGCTTAGTAATGCGCTGGACCCTGGGCTTAGTAACGCACTGGACTCAGGGCTTAGTAACACACTGGACTCTGGACTTACCTGAGACTCCGCAGAGCCCATCTGAGAATGACCCTGCAGAGCACACCATAGATCCTGCACAGCCCATCTGAGACTCTCTATGCTGGGCTCTGCAGGGCCTCAGGTGGGCTGATCATCGCAAATCGTATGTGCAGGAGAACCGATCTGCCCTGGAACAGCTGTTGTGACTAGGTTTGAATGTGTGACCGGTGACGTGCAGATATTATTCACTCTTAGGGTCTGTGTTGACGGACTTTGGGCTTATGTTAATGGTGTTAGAGTGACATGAGTGTGTCTGATGTCATTCAGAATTCATTGACAGGCGAATTTGACTTGCAATTGGCCTCCTTCTGACCTGTTTCAAGCGGGTTTTGGCTTCCTACAGACATATATGGGAAGTCAAAACCTGTCTGCCGAAAACAAAATTCCAGCAAAGCAGGTCCTAATAAATGGGGGTTTGTCTTCATTAAATAAAAACAACTCATTACATTTATTTTTAAATGCAACTAGTGTCAATACATAAATTTGACTTAATATCAGCCACTTGTACTCCCTTGCACATGCCACTCAGATTGGGGGAGTGTAGGGCAGCGTTAGATCTTCTGTGTGCACATGAACCGACAAGGAACTTGGTAACAGATGAAAAGAGCAGAATAACGAGCCATCAGCCCACTGCTTCTCCTGTCCAATTACAGGCTGGGGGCAGGGAGGTGACCAAGTTGTATTGTTTTATTACACAAAAGTCAGGTCACCAACCCGGCTTTACTAATGGACAGTACAATGTAAGTGTCCGTTCTGGATGGACAGAAACACAAATCCTTTGGCAAATAAAACTGTTGCTATATACAATGTTGTCCAATGTTCATCTTTAATAAGATTATACAAAAAGTGCACAATAAGAAACCGATAAAAGCCCACTTCTTACCCTGTTTGTCCATGTAGATGGGCGCACCTCCTAAAGAAGCCACAGAGTCTACAAGGAGCAGGCAGTTATACCTGAGACCAGAAAACAATCACAGGTCAGAACCCACTAATCAATCATCCATTTGTATTTTATCCTCAGGTCATTTTCTTTTCATCTCAAGTTATTGCTGGCACTGATGATAATGCAGTGCTGTTTTATTTCAAAGTTTAAACCGCATGATACTCATTGCTTTTATATCAGTGCCCCAGCCTGAGCAATGTACACATGTTTTCTACCCAAATAATTACTTTGGGGTCTATTTATAAAAAACATTTGCATAGCTTATTTGTTCAGGTACATTTATTCCGTGCGAGTTAACCAGCTGTTGTAAAAATGGGGCAAAGGCCAATGTTCTTCAATAGGTATATTTATACAGAAGAAAAATACCACATTACGACCACTAGATACAGCTGAAGATTATAGGAAAACAATACATGTCAGTAAAGAAGATACAATGTTACATGAGTTTATATACTCTACTATGGGGATATATGCTCATTCTCTCCTGTGGTCTCTTGAATTATAACATTAGATCTCCTTACTAACGTGTATTTATGTACTATGATTCTCAGCTCCATCTAGTGGCCATAATGCAGTATTTCCCCATTCTTTATGAATAAACCTACTGAAGAACATTCGACCAGAAGAGGAAATACACTAAGAACATTTGTTTTTGTCCCATTCCCACAACAGCTGGTTAACTCGCACAGAGCAAATTTACATGACGTTTCACTGCACAACTAAGCTATGCAAATTTTTAATAAATAGTCCTCTTAATATTATTGCCACTTTAAAGGATTAGTACATCCAATACTGATATTTAATTCTTTGTTGGACTGCATGCCATCATCTCTGCTTCCATTCTCAGCAGTGCAAATAGACTTTCAGTCACTTATAAGACAAAGTGCAAAGAACGATTATATATGCAAAGTGCAGTAAATTATACCAACCAATTGGAAATCATTCCATAGCTACCCTGACTACACTAATCTATGGGTTACTTCACTTTACACATTGTGATTGCTCATTGTGATATATTGCTGAATTCCTGTCAGTCTTTCTGTTTAAGGATATAGAAAACAATAATAATTTCAACATATTTTGGTGAAAATTCAGTTTTTTTTTTAAAGTTTTGGATAAAATAAGGAAGAGTAAAAACCCCTGTCAGCTTTTTTTGCCATCTGTGCCCCATTGGGGAGATTTCCCTTCACTTCCTGTCCCATAGCCACAACAGGAAGTGGGAGGACATCTCTCTAAAATTAGAGACAAATTTGGTGGTCAGTAGGGTCACCAGAATTAGTGTCCCCATTGGAAGATGTCTCATCTATTCCTGTCGTGATGACAGCTGAAAATCTGAGATTTTCTTTCATTTTCAGTGATAACTATCACCAGGACAAATAGAAGGGATGAATCTCCCTATTGGGGGCACAGACTACAATAAAAACCGGCCAGGGGTTCAAATCCCTCTCCACTGTATACAAAACTAAAAAAAAGTTGGCTTCAGTTGCACTTTAAGATATGTCCAGTACTATAAGAGTGACAGAGGAATGTGAGAAGATCAGGATGGAATAGAAAGAGAGAAAGTGAGGAGAAATAATAAGAGAGGTGGGAAAGCAGAATACTCCTTAAAATGAAAGTTCCCTACTACCCCAGTCCTCCCAATGAGAATTGCAGTCCTATAGCAGAACAGAGCACTGATTGTAGATGTGTAATACATCCTTGGTTACATCTCCTGTGGGTGTCACAAAGGTTTTTTTTCCTCTTGTAGCTATTCATACAGCATGGAATGTTTTCTTTTCTAGATGTAGATACATACCGGTGACACAGGTCTCCTAATCCATCTAAAGGCTGAACAACTCCACTAGACGATTCTCCGTGAGTTATAAAGAGGAGAGAAGGCTTGTGCTCTGCTAGACCCTGAAATCAAGAAGAAGAATCAACTCTACTGACATGTATGAAAATATTGTGAATTATGAGGCTTCCATCTAAAGATAATCCAAGAACTTGTCAGGTGTATTCAGTACAGTAATGAAAAGAACAAAGATCATTTGGAACATGTACTCATGCATATTATCTATAGAGACTTCTGCGCTCGATTTGACAGCTGCCTCTGCCTATCTAGAGGCAGAGCCAACTGTGCCTGCCCCCTCCTGTCCGTTCCTCCGCTCAGCGCTGGAGGATCGGAGAGGGGAGGGGGAAATCCCTGCGGAAGTGATGACTGACAGTCACCGTTCTCTGCAGTGAGAGGATCAGGAAGTCGGCGATCGGCGGTGTGTGTTTGCTGACTTCCCGATCAAAAGAGCTGACCTATGATAGCTTCTTTGTCACAGATCAGGTTAGGTTATGGGGATGAGACCAGGTGTTTAGACCTCCTTCCTGGCCAGGCCATTTTTCAGTATTTAGAGCTGCGGTACTTTGACTGACATTTATTCCGTCATGCAACGCTGTACTAAAATGAATTTTATACCATTTTTTTGGGGACAGATAGAGCTTTCTTTTAGTGGTATTTATTCACCACTGGGGTTTTTATTTTTTTCTATATTTCAGAAAATGTACTGAAAATTCCGGGGGAAAAAAGTGTTTTTACATGTTTTTTACATTATGTTAGGAAACAATTATTATTACCCAATTTTATGGTAAAATATAAAAGACGGGGTCACGTTGGGTAAATAGACACCAAACATGTCAAGCTTAAAAATTGCATGCACCCGCGAAATCGAAAAAAAACTACAATACCCAAAATTGGCCATAGACGACACTTTAAAAGCTTTTACCGCTCATCAGTTTAGTGTTATCAGTGATTGATGGCCCTAAAGATATCGCTCTCACTGCGACGTTCGCGGCAATATGTAGCATGTGTGGCGTAATGGGCGCAATCATCGTTTTCGCAGGTATGCGCACCTGACGCTTCTACTTTCTCCAAGCTAGTAAATGGAAAGCTACTGGGGACTGCTCTCCCTTTAGTATCTCTTACTGGACAGGAAGTTCAGGTCAGCAGAGCTGAGAAAGTTGGAGCAGCAGTTTGAAAAATGATGACTATAAGTGCTTGGGTAATAATGTAAAGGGATACTTTGCTGGGCAATGTATATTTGTTTGATCTGGATTCATTATTGAAAAAAACACTTTGAGACTTTATACTACTTTAAACAATGGGCGCTTTTTAAGAGGAGGAGAGAGCAGAGTGATGGTCTCAGCAGTATACTCTCAAATCTAGGGCCTCGTTCACACCAGATGCAGTAAGTTCTGGCCCGATGGCCAGAACACACTGCCTCGCATTGCGGCCGGCTCACTTTTTTGTGGAGCAGGAGGGGACGTTGCGGTCCATTGAAGTGAATGGCACCGTAGCCACACCCTCTGACCACAATGCGATCGGCCGCACAGGATCGCAAGGCACATTAATAAAAGTGTCACTTTAAAATAAAGTTTTAAGCAAATATTAGAAAGTATTTTTAGATTTGGTAATTTGTCCGAAACTAAACCTTTAAAGAAGAACTCCGGTTTAATATTGTAGTAACCCTTGTGGGGGACCCCTGTACTGCAAGGGGTAAGTGCTTGTTTTTGTCTAGGTGCTTTAAAAAAATTATTTTTCTTACCTACTAGCATTTTTGTAATCTATACATTGGCATAGGCGCAGTACACTATACAGTCCCAGCCCATTCCTGACCACTGTAGGATATTGGGAATGGAGTCAGGTGCTGAGATAATGTGACTGCAGTGCACATAAGGTAACATCATTACCCAATAAGAGAAGAAGAGAAGAGTGCGGCAGAGTAGAGATGGGAGCATGAACCTTGTATTGCTGATGGAAAGGAATATCAGAGGTAAGTGTGCCATGGAGTGCTAGTATACTGTGTACATTATGGCATGGTTGGCTGGCCACCCACCTCCTCTCCCCATTTAATTCTACTTTAGGAAATTATTACTTGCATTTATTACTGCAGCTAGTACATGTACATTTATATATTGTATAATCATTTCTTTATTCAGAAGTACTAAGACTAAAAGAGGGAATGTCAGCACTCCAAACTAGTCGGGGCTCTATTGCTTTGTACTGTTTTGTCAGTCTAACATTGTGGCCATGCTTCCAGGAGGAGAGAGCACAGGAATGACATCCTGAATGTGGTGCTTCTTCATTGTCTAATCAGCAGGCCAGACAGAGAGGTACTTCAGGAAGCAAAACTTTCGCAGACACTTTTTGCTGTAGTCACCATCAACAGTACTGTTGATGGTGACTACACTATTACTTATGTTACTATGATTTTAGAAGGGGGAAGATATATGAATTTGCAAATGTAGGACGCCTGCAGTCATCAGGGTAAGGTAGGGAATATTTGTAATACATATAACGCTCCTGGCTGCTTACCTTTTCTATCTCCTTTAGGGTAAAGCCCTCCCCTGGTGGTTTTGATAGGAGACGAACATCAGCACCTGAGATGTAAAGTAGATGGAAGGATTAAAGCATTTCTTCCACTATAACACATTTTATAAAGAAAGAGCTTCATTCAGCAATATAGTATAAATATACAGGTGAAACTCGAATAATTAGAATATCGTGCAAAAGTAATTGCAGTAAGTGCTGCAAAAGGGGCCCAAACCAAGTGCTGAGTACATATGCATGCTTGTACTTTTCAGAGGTCCGATATTGTTCTATGTACAATCCTTGTTTTATTGATTGCATGTAATATTCTACTTTTTTGAGGTTGTGGATTTGGGGTTCTTGGGGTTTTCATGAGCTGTAAGCCATAATCATCACAATTATGACAAATCACGGCTTGAACTATCTTGCTTTGCATGTAATGAGTCTATCTCATATATTAGTTTCACCTTTTAAGTTGCATTAGTGAAATAAATGAACTTTGCACGATATTCTAATTATTTGAGTTTCACCTGTAGATCACTGCTTGTACAAAATAGGAAAAGGACTCTTCTTCATGTTCCATTCTTGAAGACATATGCAGCTTTTTGTTCTTTTGCAGATCGTTTTGAATGATTGGACCTGTGGAACTGTTTTTGAAGTGATACGCCTACGTTTCTATTCTTGACTTCATCAGTTACGCCTAAAATACTGTATCGGTAAATAAATAACATTTCTCATTTTGGATTTCCTAATCTGATCATTATTATTTTACAATACAATTTAGCATGCAAGATGCCTCCCAAGCAAGGCATAGGCAGTATAAAATAGGAGTATTTGAGAAATCAAAGTAGATGTAAACATGTTATTGTCATTTAAAACAGTACTTTTCATTTTGTTTAAATTTGCAGCTTTGATTACTATCTGGTACTTTTAACGCGAAGATCCTTCATGTACTTGCTGTTATGGAGTGGCAACTTTCCCCAAATTGTGTCCATATATTGTCATCTTGGCCCATGTGCCTAGGGTTGCCAATGGCCGGTATTTTACCGGCCTGGCCGCTACGAATTGGACTTGTTGCCAATACAAATAGAAGAAAAGCTGGCCGCACACCGGATTCCGCTGGGATAGTTTATTGAAACTTGTACTTCATCACTGGGTGTCCCGCCCAAGGTCCACCCACCTGACACGTTTCAACCAATCATGGGCTTAGTCATAGATATAAGAGTGGACTAGGGCAGGCTGTGCTTTATACTATCAAGTTTATGGCATGTCATTACATGGTAACACAATTAAAAGGGGACCTGCCTCATATCTCACTGCATAGCATACAATGTCATATAACATCCTGCAAATTCAACAATACCATTATATGCAGAAATAAAAGAGTAAGTAATATATAATATGCAGGATGTTATATGACATTGTATGTAAGCGGCAAGCACCCAACTCATTCCTTTACTGAGCCGTGGAGCAGCGGTGCTTCGTTTGTGTGTTCTCATTTCTGAGGGAAAAAAAACAGCATTATGGTCTTTCCCTAATAATAACATTGGCAACAAGTCCAATTTGCACTGGTCCAGGCTGGTGAAATACTGGCTGGTGGCAACCCTAGGCACGTGTCAGCATGACAACATAGGGACACAAAACTGCATATACCTGGTTTGGGAGGCATCCTAAATTGTATTGTTAAGGAATTTAGGTAATTTCTTTAAAAAAAAAATCATGATACACAGAGCTTAAGTCAACCTAATGTCCCCCAGTTTAGGGTTTAGATTTGTTTTAAGAATGGTATGTAATATGTTGTGCATATGTAGTAGAATGTGCATCACAGGAGAGTATGATATGAATGCATTGAGTGAATTGAAGGTATGCTTGCTCCTGTTTTCCCTTTTTTCCAGGTTTAACAAGTAAATAGAGAATGATAATCCCCCAGACCTCATTGATTCAATTGCCCTTCGTGAGTATTAGCTCTTTAAGGAAACAGATGAGTGAAGATGAGTCAGAGTAAAACATGATCCTCTCTCTCCCGGCCTGGCTCAGACATCCATCTCTGTAATGTGGCTGTCTGTACAGATAGATCATAGAGATCAATACTTCCTATGTGATTATACATCTTTTTCTTTCACTGGTTAAAGACAAAGAAGGAAAAGCAAAAATGTATAAAGTGAGTTTTTAAGTCAGATTAGATCGTTTTAGACCTAGTCTGACAATAATCAAAGAGTGCATGGCCGAATGATGACCACCTTAGCAAATGTATTCAATACTTATACAACCCTCTGCACTATGTGGCTGCAGTGTCCAGAATGGTCACATAATATAAAGGTCAGCACCTCATAATGAGCCTCAGTTATTTATTGAGGGCTCAACAAGATCATCATTTACAGTGTAATTATGTTTTCGGGGCTCACAAGACCCCTTTCTCTTTCTATTGGCCTATCACCTTGAAAAAGGGGTCCTGTGAGACCCCAAAACAACACTAGAGACACTTTGTTTCCACTTTTTTTTGTCACTTGTCCTGTTGAGCCCTCAATAAATAACAGGCTCATTATATGGTGCTAACCTTTTCTATTTTATGAGTGATATCACCAGTAGCCATGCACTCAATATCAATGGCATTCAAGGTCAGGTGCTGGATAGATTTGCTTATAGTTTGGTCACTTAGTGAGGCTTATTTACTATAGGAGTTGAGAATCTGCACTCAATAAATGGCATGAATATTCACTTTAAAAAAAAATCCAATTTACTTTGAATACTCATCCATGTTCAGATGAAAAAAAATAAATAGGGATTTGCTTTTCATGTGATTGGATAATTGAAGTAAATATATATATACAATTTATTGAGTGAAGATTCTCAACTCCTTTTAGTGAATCAACACAAATGTGTGGCATATCCCCCTAAAAATAGAGCAAGGTGATCAAATGACAAAGTCAGATATTCCTATTTCACTATGTATGGGGAGCTATGATGGCACACACATATAAAAGGTGCAAAATCAGATTTTGCCTTTCATTAACTTAAAGAAGAACTCTGGGTAAACATTTTATTAATCCTTGCAGTGGGGGTACCCAGGGTTAAGTGCTAATTTTTGCCAAGGGTCAAAATCAACAAAGTTATACTCACCCGATCCTCAGGGGCGACCAGCTGTCACAGTGGTCCCTCCAGGCTGTCTCCTGCATACAATGTCCCTTGGCGTCCTATACACTGTGTATAGAACGTGATGACTCAGGGACCTTAGACTGCTGCAGTGGAGGGGAAACGAGAGCCTCCAGGGACCAGTCTAAAGGTGGCCATACACTTTACAACCCTCGCACGATTCCCGGCGGGTTTTCCAGCCTGCTTGTTCGACGGAAGACGCGTGACCGTACAGTAGAAACGGTTGCACGCCTTCCATACACTGCATGATTATCGTACGATCGCGGGATTTCCCGCGATTCTCGTACAAGAATCGTGCAGTATATGGGCACCTTAAGAGCAAGCTGGCTCGGCGGATTGGGTGAGTATAACTTTTTTCATTTTGATCCTGGACAAAAAACAAGCACTTAACCATTGCAGTGGCACTACCCCCCTTTTTAGTACATGTTTTTCCCCAGATTTCTGCTTTAAAATAGAGTTCTAAATGGTCTCTATGGGAAACAACTTAAATGTGGTTCTTGCCCCTTCTCCCTTGTAATGATTCAGCACAAAGTGCATAGAAAATAGAACAAAATGTTCAGCCAGTTAAACACGCAATGGTAATATGGTGTGGCCGAATGTTTGTTGGTAATTTAAACTTGCGATGAACAATCCTGCAACACTTTAAATATTTCTTAGCTCCCTGCATTAATGATTAATTTCCAAACTCTTCATGACGTTGAGAAAAGGTTAAACCAAAATGTTAAAGTTGGCAGATGAAGTCCAGTGCAGAGTCCAGACCATCACAACTGGGAACTGACCAGGTGCAAATGCTGGAAAACAGCATTATGTGCCAATGATTAACCTGTCTGCATGAGAGCAAGCTGTTCATTCCACTAATGTACTATATCCAATTTGCTCTTTAAGTGGATGCATGAATTACACGTCCACACTGTCAGCTGGGTAATGTCTGTTGCTGTGGACTCTCCAGAGTATATGAGAGGAAACACTTGTGACCTCAAGTGGCTCTAAATCCTATTAATCAAGATCAAAGAATAAACACACCTCTTTGGGTATTACCCCTTATACCCCTATGCTTTAAAGATATGATATCTTCATATTATCTTTATAGATAATAATAAATGCATAAAAAGTCTTGATTTCTGCAAGTCAATGAATCAATTACAACCTTTGAACCTCAACTGTGTCAGAGATTGTTTTCATTTTTAATGCATGCATGCATGATAACAAAATTGTCAGTTTAAAGGTGCCCACACACCTTACGATAATCGTACAATAATCACGGGAAATCCCGGGATCGTACCATTATCGTAAGGTGTGTGGGAGCCGTGCGACCTTTGCTAATGTATGGTCTCACTACTTTTATCTTAGGAACATGTTCGAAAACCCGATGAGAATCGTACGATTTTCGGCTGGTGTGTAGCATGTAAGTAAGATAAAAGCCGGGCGGTCATAGTAAGCCCGCCCCTCAGCGGGGCGGGCTTGCGATCATCGCAAGTACGATCTGCCTGTCCAAGATAGGCAGATCGTACGTTTTTTTAAATTACCTGACAAGCATCGCAAGACAAAAGTCTTGCAATGGTTGTAAGGTGTGTGCCCAGCATAACAAGGATGACGGTACACCCCCTGACAATGCCTTCATTGTCCTTTCTCCCCAGTAGACTAGTGTCATCATCCGGGGTCAGTATCTACTTCCTGAACTGAGATGCTAGTTCAGAGATGACACAATCAAGGAAATCTCTAGTCATGGTAAAAAAAATCCTAAATGTAGGTGCCCTGCAATAGAAGAGCTCTTATACTCACCCCTCCGGGGGCCTTTGTCTCCTAATTCTTTTTCATTCCAGCACTGCAGCCTTCATCAGACTCTTCCACATTTGACATTTCTCGTAATGCTGGATACCTGTGTCCCCTGCCACGCATTTTGGTTCCACCCTTCAACCTCTGTGTTATAGCTGGGTCCTATTGTGCAAGTTTATTTATTTGTTTATTAAATTTATTTATATAGCACCATCAATTTACGTGATATTTTACATTTCAATCACATCAGTCCCTACCCTCAAGGAGCTTACAATCTACAGTTCCTATCTCGTATGCTCATCTGCATACAGGTGAAACTCGAATAATTTGAATATCGTGCAAAGTTCATTTATTTCACTAATGCAACTTAAAAGGTGAAACTAATATATGAGATAGACTCATTACATGCAAAGCAAGATAATTCAAGCCGTGATTTGTCATAATTGTGATGATTATGGCTTACAGCTCATGAAAACCCCAAGAACCCCAAATCCACAACCTCAAAAAAGTAGATTATTACATGCAATCAATAAAACAAGGATTGTACATAGAACAATATCGGACCTCTGAAAAGTACAAGCATGCATATGTACTCAGTACTTGGTTTGGGCCCCTTTTGCAGCACTTACTGCAATTACTTTTGCACGATATTCTAATTATTCGAGTTTCACCTGTACATGCAAACTCCATGCAGTCCTAACTGGACCTGGATTCGAATTGGGGACCCCAGCAGGGACGTGTGGTCAGGGGAGGCAGGTGAGGCAGAGCCTCACCTAGAATTATGGAGGAAAAAGCTGTCAGCTTCAAGTCTGAAGCTGACAGCTTTTTCTCCATTCAGATCAGCTTGTTACAGGTTACATGTACAGGAGGGAAAGCCTCCCCGCTGTGTAACCTGTCATGGATGGAGTGCTGCCTGTTAATTACAGGCAGCGCTGCATCCGACTTATGACAGGTAGTTAGGTTACACTGCAGCGGGCTTCCCCACTGTTTGTGTAACCTAACTAGTGAGGGAAGAGCTGTCACAGCCTCTACTCTTTGTTAGAGGTGTGAGCTCTGAGGATGGCTTGGACCAATGGCAAAGCGCCATTGGTCCAAGCTGTCCAATAAAAAAAAACAAAAAAAACCCCACTGAGGCCATCGATCTCGATGCCTCAGCAGTGATGAGCAAGTGAGGAAAAGAGAGGCTCCTCCCTTCCTTCTTCACCCTAGCTTGGGGGCGGGTCTTCGACCGACTGGGCTTTGATAGGTGGGGTGGGGAGGGGCTTCGATCGGCAGGGCGGGATATGCTGGGGCGAGGCTAGGGAATGCCTCACCCGGAACAGGAGGTAATGCACATCACTGGACCCCAGTGCTGCAAGGCAGAAGCTCTGACCTTTGAATGATTGGGGGGTTGGTGTTGGTTCACAACCAGCTATGACTAAGGCCGAGTAAGGCAGAAACGCATCAGCATTTATTTATTTTTTGTATAGATGTGTGTGGATTTTCATTGGAAGATCATCGTTTGCTGGTTCTGTAGTTTTTTAGAATATCATCCCAGAAGAGGGTCATCCGTGCACTGAATGTGGATTACAACGATGCATGACATGGGTGAGCCGTGCGCTTTGTGTTTCTAGTCCAACCTTTGAATGATTGTCTCTACCATACAGCAGTATGAAAGTACAGTATAATTTTTTTAATCTTTTTTTTACTGAAGATTCTGACAAAACTGTTTCACTTACCTATTCTCTGAGCAATATCTGCAGCTCTCTCACCCCAAATTCCTTTGGAAGCAATGAGCACTACATCCCCTTTCTCGACCACGTTGAAGATGGCTGCCTCCATTGCGCAATGTCCTGATCCACTCACAGCCAGGGTCAGAGTGTTATGTGTCTGAAAGGCGTACTGTATTCCCAGCTTAATGTCATCCATTATCTGCACAGAACAATACAAGGTTTCTGTAAAATACAGAATCACTAGCTCCAGGCATACATTTGATAGAACCGTCCTTTAACAGAGAGATGTTTTGCATATCACCAGGCACTTTTGAAAGCATTAAAGTTTAATCACAAGTAATATACATTTTCAGCTGGCTTATCATTTATTTTTTCATTAATATGCATGGCATCCTTTCCTAGTTACCGTTTAAAGGGGTTGCACTTTAAGTTACCAGGCCTTTAGGAGCTGGAGGGCTTCCTCTATTGTCTTTTTAATAGCGTAGGGGACTGGAACCTCAGGGAATCATTTTAGGGCATTATGGCACCCATAGATATGTATTGAGGGCCTGTCACTGAAATGTCAGATGAAAAGCACAGTTCATGCAAACTGTTATTCCAGTTGTGGTTAGGCTGATGAGCTGGATCACTTACAATACAACTGATATTGCAGCAAGGAGATATATGCAATGAAATCCACAAGTTCTCCTACCTACTATTGCCATTGCAACGGAGTCTCATGTAAAGTCCCAGCATACACTATCAGGTTATACTATTAGCATTGTAATAGGAATACATACTAGAGTTGTTTTTGATAATATAATCAAAGGTTACATGAAAAAAATAAATCCCTTTTATGTAGTGAGCTCTGCCTTCTGTCTGCCCATCACTTTTAACAATTTCCTGGATTCCTAGTGTGTCTCTTTCCCTGCTGCTTGATATGATACAATCTTGATTTCTCAAGATGACATATCCCATCATGCATTGCTTCCAGAAAGCAATGATAATGTTACATTGTTCAGCAAGGAGATCTATGCAATGAAATCCACAAGTTCTCCTACCTACTATTGCCATTGCAACGGAGTCTCATGTAAAGTCCCAGCATACACTATCAGCATTGTAATAGGAATACATACTAGAGTTGTTTTTGATAATATAATCAAAGGTTACATGAAAAAAATAAATCCCTTTTATGTAGTGAGCTCTGCCTTCTGTCTGCCCATCACTTTTAACAATTTCCTGGATTCCTAGTGTGTCTCTTTCCCTGCTGCTTGATATGATACAATCTTGATTTCTCAAGATGACATATCCCATCATGCATTGCTTCCAGAAAGCAATGATAATGTTACATTGTTCAGACGCTGAGTGAAATTGTGTCAAGGAAGTCCATCCTATGGGCATCTTCAATAAGAAAGATTTCAAACTTCTAGATGGATATGGTTATTAGGAGTGGAGATTCAGTATAGAAATCCATATTTATTTTTAGTTTTTGACCATAGATACCCTCTAATGGTATAATATAGATAAATCAGCCTTGAGCATGAGACTCCTGGAAAATCATGTTTTTTTGAATTCAGTGTGACTCTTTGACACCATTGTGAAAATATCATATTCATGTTAGGGATACCCTCAATGTAAATTATGTCTATTACCTTAGTGTTAGCTACAACGTCAGGATGAATTGCATTCTTAATTTCAGCCATTACCAAGGCCTCTAGTGAGAATTTACTGAATCCTTGTTAGTCAAATAATAGTATATAGCTTTGTAGCTGGCTTGAGTGAACTGGGTTCATACCATGTTCAACCTTTTCTCTAATGGCTAATAAGAAAGCTAAAACTACGCCCCCCGTCTGGTAGTGCTATACTGTTTATAAGCAGAGCTACCCATTGTACTGTATAGTCATCCAATCAGTAGGAATTGTGGTGTATTTGATCTGCATAAAATTGTATGACTCCCCTTTGGTAATCAATATACCCCTGTCATCTGCTGGAGAATGGCCCACAAATGACCAGCTTTGTATAGACCAAGAGAAAACACTAAACATATACTGTGAATGTGTTCTTGTGCTGTTCCTCTTTACCCTGCTGCTGTAGACACTGGTCTATGTGTACATATAGTAAATACAGCTCTGGATGCAGTCTTTATGAATATTACATTAGACCATCTGTGCCCATACTACAAAGATCCATTTTTAAAAATCAGTAATTTTTCACAGCTGGTGAGTTAGTAAAATGAACAAGAATGGAAAAACAGAACCGATAATATATACAGTTTCCATAAACGTTCATGGTGTTCAGACGTGCTTGTGTACCTTTTCGGGTCTAGCCTGTGAACAATGTTCAGACAGTGGAATTGGGAAATGTTTGCTATGGGGCGACACTGCCATAGTAAACATTTGTTTTAGACCATTTATTATAATTGTTAAGTAATGGGTGCAAGACAATGTAATTACAGCTTATACTTCATTTGTGCTCAGCTATTCCTTGAGATCCCAGAATCTTCCCATCACTTGATGGCCATTTGCATACAATTATTTTCTAGACACTTCTTGGCTGTGCAGTGACCGATATTTTTTAGTTGCATGTCTTCTAAAACCAAATAAAAGCTATCGTTGCCATCACATGCCTTTTGTCAGGTAATATGTGGATACATGCAGTGATGGATAGTTGTATAAAGTTTGTTATTACTATATAAAGCAATAGTGCAGCGGATGAACACATACAGTATAAGGTGGTTATATATAATTACAAAGATTTATACACACAAATTAGCATTCACAATAACCCATATTCACAAGACTGTGTTGTAAAATTTGTGGCCAATATTGTAAATTAAACAGATATAGGATCCAAACTTAATAATCATATTCTGATTCTTTACAAAAGAGTATTAAATAACGGTTGTCTGAATTGCCTCATAGCTACCAAAAAGATTTCTGTCTAGTGCTCACAAGCATTTGGAATCCCTTTGAGATGCTTAAAACGTGTATGGGATGCTTTAACCATGCAGTTACCATATACAGTATACACCATGTCATTACATATTTGTTTATGCATTCAAAGTTGGCATCAGACACTGACCAGAGGGGGCATTATAAACAATGGGTGTTGGGTATATAGAATAATTAATAAGAGATTTTATGTAGGACAGTGGAAAGGAAGGGTTAAGATCTTTGTCAGGTTGCTGCTGCCAATTACAATTCCAACCCTAAAGGGGATTGTTATATCAAATCATATATAGATCCATTTGTTATTAATATCATCTGAATCAAATCAATTCCTTATCCCAGGGGTGGACATCCTCAGCACTCCAGCTGTGGGAAAACTACAAATCCCAATATGCCTGGAAGTCAGAGTTTAGCAATGCCTCATGGGACATGTAGTTCCTAAACAGCTGGAGTGCTGTGGTTGCCTTCCCTTCCCTTATCCCGTTCTAAGCCCTGATGAAGGGGGAGTGTTGTTTCCCCCGAAAGGCATTGGCTGTTTTGAACAACTAAAAGTACCTTTGGGATTCTTTCACCTTTTGGTTTGGTGCCCCTTATTTCTAAACATTGAGTCGATTCTGGGTACCCAACAAAGGAGGCCTGTTTTGTTTGGGGGCTGCCTTACCAATGCCAATGAGCTTATTTGCAAACTTAACGGAATCTGGACAATTTGAGAAACCCCAGCGCCTCTTAAATGTGTTTCTTTTGAGGTCTTAATTCGGTCTGTTTTCCTCTTGGCTAGATTTCCTCTCACTTATCATTCTGTCAGATATTTGTCACCTGGGCAAGAAGTAAAGGGAAATTTGGCCAGTGGAGACAAAAAAAGAAGTAAAAACCTCACAGGTTCTAATCCTTGCCCACTGCTGTCTATACCACCTTTAGGGAACTTTGCCCCATTTCTTTTCTGTCTGGTACTCTGTCAACTATACATAAGCACACAAAAAACAATACACATAGAAAACGATGAAAGGTGAACTTGGGCCCATTTGCTTCTTTGCGGTACATTAATGTATATAATGTCACATGTTAACGTGCATTGCAATAAAGGGAGCCCATTGAAAATGGATGGTCAGTCAACAGACCCCAATGACATTAAACTCATACATGCATTGCAGTAAAGCTTGTTACAACACAGGTGCATTGCCCTAGTGTGTTGGGATGCAATTCAGGTTAAACGGCACCACAACACAGCAACGTATATTACACGTCTTAGCGCAATGTGGAAATGTGAATTTGAAATGCTTAAGGCACTGAGCTGGAGAACAATCAGCTTGAGGTAAAAGCCCCATCCAACAGCTACTGGTGACTACCATTTTGGCCGCAACAAAAACATAAGAAAGCTTTTCATATCCAGAATCCCCAAACCTATATTATATTCTAGATGGTGTTTCTTCTAAGTCTTTCCATACCTCGTACATCTCAGGATGTAGTGGACTGATTATTGATAGTGCTCCTGCCGCCTGGACACGAGGATACAAATTGGCAGGACCGGGCCCCATCATAAGCCTCTGAGGTACATGTATGGGCAGTAGAAGAGATTCAGGAACCCTGACAGACAGCAGGGAAGACATTCTTCTATGCTATTCAGTTTCAAGTGAGCACAGGTAACAAAGATTTACTGCCTGTTATACAGTGTCTTTATTAACAAGAGTTGCCAAGTGACCCTTATCCTATTACTTAGTAAAAATACATCTTACGTGGAGAATTGTCACTGCAAGCACATGAGTGCTTTCTTCACATTCCCAGGAATGATACTGTAGCCAACAATGGCATGAATGGAAGGGCTTTTAGCATTATCTGACGTCATCATGCCATCTATCTGAGGCACAGCAAAATCTTTCATCTGAGCTGTCAGTGTAAGTTATTACAAAGAACAGACTTGTCAAAGGAAACACAGAAGAAATTACACATATGGGTGCAATGGGAGGATACAATTTATTTTTCAAGTGAAGTGCAACATTTTCCATTCATTTGTGATCTAAAGGTCTGTGTGTTATATGTTCAGCCATTTTCATTATATTCAGTATGTGCTCCTCAGCTGTTATTTAAATGGTGCAGAATGAGACAAACTAGCCCAGGGCCCCCAAACTTTCTAAACATAGGTCCAGTTAATTGTCCTTAAGAGTTCTTTTGTTACATTGTCGCCCTGATGAAGGAACCCTGTGCGGCCCCGAAACGTTGGTTTTGTCTGTGATGACTGGTCCGATTAAGTGGACATCAACGATATTTATTGAGTGCTGGTGATTTCTACTTTTCACTTAAGAGTTTAAGGACGTCAGAGTGTGGCCAGTGGGAATAGAAAATGCCACAGGCTTGATGGTCAATTAAAGTAAAATATACCCCAATGTTGTTGATCAGTGCAAGTAAAAAATGACCTAGCACTTGTAGTCAGTGGGGGGACTAATAGGTCCCTCATTGTTGATGTCAGTGCAAAAAATAGTACCCCATCATTAATGTCTGTGGGAGGAATAGTGACCCATCGTTGGTGTCATGGGGCCCCGCATAGCATTCCTGGCAGACTCCCCATTTACATACACGTGCATGACCTACACGCACATGTTCATTCAAATCAGATGGCTGGTACGGCCGGTTTGGTTTTAATTTTTTAAAATTTCTATTTTATTATAACCTTTTATCGCAAGCTAGTACAAGATCACTTGTACTTGACAAGCTGTGCAGGCATCACAGGGAGTTCTTGTTGGGGAAAGCTGTGTGGGCAGCCCCTGCCGGGCCCCTCTGCTGTTCCTATAGGGGCCCGGTACGGAAGGGCTGACTGTACCCCCCCTATTGGTGGCCCTGGGCATGTTCAGTAACAAAGGGGTCTATTCACGAATCTGAGCCGCTCGGCCATGATCGGGAGCTGTACGGGCTATTGTGAATAGCCCGTACACCACCCCTTCGGTTCTACTGAACCGAAGGGGTCCTGGGGCCGAAGCTAGCCGAAGGATCGGCCGAAGCTACGGCCAGATCCTTCGGCAGCTTCATGAATAGACTCCAAAATATCTTTTTTAAATACATACAAAATACATGAGTTCATACATAGACCGCAGAATATAAATAACATGATGTAAAATTTCAGAAATTATAAATATGATTGGCTTTTTAATGTAGGTGATTCTCATGGCTATCTTAATAATCTGCACAATGTAAGTACACAAGGTAATTAAGTTTTAGTTTTGATCACTGAATTAAAAATCATTTTCTACTTCTCAAAGTAAGAGTCTTCCGTTTGACAGCCACAGATGCACCAATATGAATCACTCTCTAACTTTCTAATTAAAGTTACCTGTCATTTAAGCAAACCGTTCACTGGCTCTGAATGGCTACACCACGGCAATTATAGCCAGAAAGGCACAGTGTATAGTACCATTGTAATGAGTATAAAATTAATGGAGTTTTAGGGGTCAAGCCGGCCGTAGACATCAGAGGCAGTTTCAAATGTAGGCACAATGACAAAAGACAGATGATGAATTTTGTAAAGAGGACAGGCTCAACTGGTAGTGGCAGTAGCAAACCATGCAAGATACAGTGCCACCCAGGAACAGTCCAACAAGGTTTGTCCTGCACTTTTATACAGCAAGGCAGCAATCACACACATTTTCATTGCAGAAGCAGGCCCGGCGCTACCGCATTGCTTCTGGACCCAAAATAAAACTTTTCAAGATTTTGAGAAAACAAAAAGCTTGTTTTCTCCATAACAGACATCAGACCCCATTCACACTGAGCGACATGAAAAATTGCGTGATTTTCTGCGTGATAGTTACGCCTCTGTCCAAGACATACTGTCTCTAAAGCAGAGGAGGAGACAGGCTGAAGTGAGGGCTGTCACAGCCGGCTGGCTCCGAGGATCAGGTGAGTATAACTTTGTTATTTTACTCCTTAGACAGTTATTAGCAGGTAACCCTTGCAGTGAGTGGGTAGTCCCAATGCAAGGGTTAAAAACATTTTTGCCCAGAGCTCTTCTTTAAAGTTTTTCATAAGAAAACATTGAGGCTGCCATTGGAAACTCTCTGTCTAAAAATGCTAAGTGCCTGGTTGTCACGCCAGGCACCTAGCCTTCTTTCTTCAATTTCAGTCACTGAGCTGGAACAAGTATGCAGGTAAGGAATTTAGACTTTTCTCTGACCTTACTGATCTGCATACAGGTTTTGGGTCAGTAGCTTGGACAATATTGAAGAGAAGATGATCAGCAATAAAGCCAGGAACTAGCATTTGCAGAAGGAGATCAGCAATAGCAGCCATCATATTTCTGTCTTTGAACAAGCCTCCCTCATGTTACACTACATCCATGATCAGAAAAGTGGAATTATGACTAAAATCAAATAAATGATTTCTCAACTGCATTTCCATGTCCCTTAACAGACCAAGCTGTCCAGCAAACGTGGCATTCACAGGGGTAAGGACAATCCGTGTAAGACTGCTTTTATTCATAGGGCTTAAACCTTTTATTCCAAAGGAAAGAAAATGTTTTTGTAACTGCTAAAAAAGTGTTTCCTGGATTTGGCTCATTTCAGTGTTTGTCTTTTACTTAAAGTTCATTCGAAACTCCATGTCCATCTAAGATTACCCTGTCCGCAGGGAGACTACACTGCAGAACAGGAAGCATTGTCACCCAATTACAGGAAGTGGAGAAATAACTGATCTACCGCCAGGATCAACACGTTATAAAACTATCTCACAGAGGGACTCAGAAAAACAAAAACTGCTGTGGTAATGCTACTGAAAACGTCATTACACGTGTTAGATTTTGCCCTTAGTTACACGTTAAATGTCAGGGGATAACTGTTACAAATCCCCAACCATTAGATACATGACTTTATGATTTCTAATAGGATTACAAGACAGAGCGTAATAACATCATAATGAACCTGTCCCCCAAAGAGTACCTGGACATGCAGGAGCTCACTGATTATACAGATTTCTGAAAAAAAAAAGTAAACTGGTGCATTCGTTTTCGTTCAATTTGAGAACCGAATTTCCGAATGGGAAAAATAATAAATTGATAACGAAAATTCGAATGCATCCGAATTTCGTCTGAATGTAATTAATGTTGTTAAACAGCGTGCCCGTCCCCCCATTCATACCTCTAGGTCTGGTAGGAATTTTGTGTGGGGGTCTCCCCAAAGTCCCTTACCAGACTCTTGATCCAAGTAGCAGCCTGGCAGAGCAGGAAAGGAAGGGGAGGGACGATTGTGCGCCTTCCCCCTGAACCTTACCAGGCCACTTGATCTCAACAGGTTCCCCATGTTGATGAGGACAAGGACCTCTTCCCCACAACCCTGACCCGGTGGTTGTGGAGGTCTGTGGGCAGGGGGTTTATCTGAATCTGGGTGCCCCCTTTTATAACGGGGGCACCCAGATACCACCCCCCTCATGAATGAGTAAGGGGTAGTTGTTACCCCTACTCATTCACCAATTAAACAAGATGGTAAATAAACACACTACAGAGTTTTGACAGCATTTCACTAAATGATATTAGACCATCAATTTAACAATAATATATTTTACATTATATATATATATTATATACATATA